TCCCACAGGAGAAGATTGAAGAGGGACCTACTTAGCCTATACCAACTAGGGCCAAAGAGCAGGAAAGACAAGTGTTTATCAGTATGGAAGAGAAGTGGGGAGGAGCCCAATGTGTCTAACTTACCATAGCAGTGTGACACTGTCATTTGCCCCTTATCCCTGCTCCATTCTCATTTAAGACTGATGAGTCCCTGTGAACTCAGGAGAGCAGACTCCTGAGGGACAGGAACGGACAATGGTGTCCCCATTTTTTTTTCCCTGTGGCTCACCCTTTTTCAAAGGACTCTGAAATGCTCTGCGGCCCTGGGGCTAGGCAGGAGGAATGCTGTGATAATGAAGGAAAAGAAAAAAAAAAATCAAAAACCCTTTCCCACCCACAGGCAGCACCTGGAAGTCCCAGATCCTCAATCCTCCTGGGCCAGATCAGGAAAGCCTGAGAACCGCACTGGCTGCTAGAAGGATCTGAAAGGTCCCTTTCCAATGGTGCCCCAGGAGTGTAAGGCCAGGACCTCCTCTCACCTGTATAGTGACTCAAGCAACAAACTGGGGGAAGGGGAGAAGAGAAGAGAAGCCTGAAGTCATGTACACCTTATCTCCAGATAAACTCCAGGATTACTGAATAGATTAAAGGCATTCATTCAAGAAGTTGCCAGCTTTGCCAGGATCCTGGAGGGTCTGAGTTACTTAGTCACATCCAAAGGTGACCTGTCCCCTTGGGTGGAGTGACCTACCTCATCAGCTACTTGTTGCCTTGTTATCGGCACTACCACTGGGAGGCGCCCAAAGTCGAGCATGGGAAAAGCAGCATGCTCTGTGGCAGATACCAGCACTCTTATGTGTGTTCCTTTGACATCTGCTGCTCACCAACTTTGTGCTTGGTTGGTGGTGCAGGTCTGGAGCTTCTAGCACTATGAGACTCTGCCTATCTCTATGCCAGCCAACTGAGCTGAGCATAAATGAAATCTGATGCAATTAATTTATTGGTGTGTGTGTATGTGTGTGTGTGTGTGTGTGTGTGTGTGTGTGTGTGTGTGTGTGTGTGTGTGTGTGTGCTGGTCTAGGAAATTGAATTCAGGACCTAAGCACTATCTTTAAGCTTTATTGCTCAAGGCTAGTATTCTACCACTTGAGCACACCACTTCCAGTTTTTAAGTGGTTATTTGGAGATTAAAGTCTCACAGGCTTTCCTGCCTGGCCTGGCTTTGAACTGTGATCCTCAGATCTCAGCCTCCTTAGTAGCTAGGATTACAGGCAGGAGCCACCAGCACCTGGCTTGTGCAATTACTTTCTATGCAGACCACCCGTGCTATGGGTATGGTGCTCTAGCTTCCAGGCTGCCTTCTGTTATCCAGCCTTACAGCCACCAAGGAGATGGCTTAAAAACTGTCTGGGCCCCTATACCTCTCAGGAGAAAGTTCAAAGCCCCTCTTCCTCTCCAAAGCCTTGGAGCGCCCCATGAGCTTCCCTTAGTGTTGTTCCCTTGTAAATCTTTGCTTTAGGCCTCCGGACCTTGGCACTTGCTGTCTCCCCTCCCACCTGCCGTGGCTTTCCCCTTCTCTTTCATCTTCCCTAGGCTGGTTCTGACTCCTGGCTCCGACCCCCTGCAGCCCCTGGGGGATAGTCCCAGCAAAAATGAATTTCACAGTCAGTTTCTGAATCAGAGATTTCCTCCTCCCTTGGGAGGACAGACAGGTAGCTCAGTGAGGGGCCTGGCTGGGGTATTCTTTGTCTAGAAGGTGCCTGGGTAGGGGGTCCAATGGAGTCACACTGAATACACTGGGGCTGACTGAATGCTCCTGGGGTATGCACATCAAAAGGAACTTCTAGGCAGCTACGGTAGTGGGGGTGGGAGTGAGATGGGGTGTCTGGCCCAAGTCTGAGGTTTCCGTTTTGCTTGCAGTAGGTCCCTAGTCCTGGCTGCCTTCTCCGATCCTGCCAATTAGGGTGTGGGAGAAAGAGGGACTTTAGTCTTAGGCTGGGTCTCCATCACCCACCTCACCCTAGCTGATTACAGTGAGTTTAACCCCCTCCCTGGCAAGCACAGCCTATCCTGACATTCAGGATAAGCAGAGGCTATTTCCTTTTGTGACTGGGGGTGCAGGGGTACCGCCCCTCCTCCTCCCCCCCCCTCCCCCGCGCCCAGGTAGTATCGGACTGACTGTTCCCAACACAAGATGAGCAGAAGGAAGGAAATTAAACTTGTGTTGAAGGAAGGACACCTGGCTGCAGAGAAAACGGGCTCAGGAATCCCCTCCTCTGGGGAGCTTTCAAGTGGGGGGAAATCCCCACCCAGGCCTCCATTCTCCCTTGCACCATTCTGCCCCAAGGGGCCTCTACTAGGTTCCCTCCCCTCCTCTTTGACTTCCTCAGGTTTGTAAGGATTCCACCTTCCCTCCACTTGTTTCCTGCCCCACCTCCAACACTGCCCGGGGCTTCCCCAGGCTCCAGGGTGCCTAGAAGAGGCAACTGGCTACTTGCCTTCCCGCACCCCCCCCCCCCATCAGTTTTGCCTACGGCAGCCAGGACCTCTAGCTAGGCACGTCTCAGCCAACCCACATCCCACCCAAAGCCACTGGGGACCCCTCCCCCTCCACACACACTTCCTAGGACTGGCACCTGTAGAATCTTACAGCCCTAAAAGACCCCTAAGCCTGCTGGTGGCTCACCCCTACACTGAATCCACAGGGGTGTCTTGGTGATCTGAAAAGACATCTTACTGGCTCTCCTCGTATGGTGTGGGGAAAGGGGAGGTCTGTATCTCAATATACTGGTGCAGGATTTGACATCCCCACAAATCGACGTGGGGACCCCCAGGAGGTGGTCTTCCCTCCTCCCCCCACTCCTCCTAGGAAGGTGTGGCAGGGCTTGAACTCAGAAAGCAGGTGTGGAAGCTCTCTACCCCTGCAGCCTGGGTTGGTCTAGTTAGAGCCCTGCATTCCCTGTGAGCCTCTGCATTCCCAGGGTGCCTCAGAACAAGCCCAGCCCCTGGGGGCATCCCAAAGGATGCCCACCACCTCTGCCCCTTCCACACTCACCCACAGCTCAGCAGCAGGTTGGGATTTCCCTCTGCCTGGCTGCTCCCAGGCCCTCTCCACCCCTCCCCTTCCCCTTTATTTCCCTGTTTCCTCTCTCCTAGTGGCTTTAGCTCAATCCCCTCCACTCCGGTCTCCAACCCCCTTTCTGTCTCTCTGACTCTCTCTCCCCACTCTATCTCTCCCCCCACCTTTCATCTCTCCCCCACCCCACCCCCTCCAGTTTAGCTTGGTCTAGGAACGCAGCAGTGACAAGCCCAGGCGGCTCCCCCGACCCTTGGTGCCCCCAGGGGCCACTTCCCTACTCTCCCCTCACCAGCAGCAGCCCGTGTTGGGAGAGCAACGGCAGGGGCAGCGATCTGAGCTGTGGGCACCAGCAGCCTTGATCAAAGGCCAGGAATGTCTGGCCCCCTGGTGTGGGACTTCCTCAGCTGAGCCCCTGGATTGCTAAGTGGAGAGCCCGCCATGCTGCCCGCCATGGGGGCAGAATTCTGGTGGGCTCCTTCTCTGTCCTTCCACAGCACTTCCCTGAACAGGTCTTCGCCTCCTTCTCCTATGTATCTTCTCTTCTGTACCCTGGCCATGCCCAGGTGCTTTGGGTGGTTCAGGACAAGGGTTTAGGGAAGACACCCAGATGAATCCCACCACGGTCTCACAATACCACTCAAGGTTGAGACCCCCAACTCCTCTGCTTGACAGAGGAAGGAGAGAGGGAGAGAGGGAGGGAGGGAGGGAGGGAGAGAGAGAGAGAGAGAGAGAGAGAGAGAGAGAGAGAGAGTCCTCTGGAGCCTGGAAGGTTTTTTGTTTTCCTTTTCCTGTGAGGAGGGTGGCATCTGAATGGATGTGGCATTTACCCAGGATAAAGACCCCCCCCCCCCAGGTTATTGCTTCCTGTCTGAAGAGCTCAGCGTTTTCAAGGCAGGAGAGAGTTGGGTACTGAGGGCAAGGCTGGAGGCCTCCATCCCTCCTGAAGCTGCTACTTTTTCCTGTGTCCCCAGATGATTCGACCCCCCCAAATCCAAAAGAAGCTTCGTTAGTGCATCTGAGGTCGGGCCTGAACGCCTGGAGGAGGAGAAAGTGACCCTCGAGTCGGCCGGCAGGAAATGCAACTGGCCGCTGGTGTCAGTTGCAGGAAATGCACAGGCAGCAGGAGGTCCCGATACCAATCTGATCCTTGACAAAAGACTCCGGTCGGTGACACCGGGCTGGGGTCCCCAGGCGCCGCCCGCAGTCAGACCTCCGAGTCTCGGCCGTCTCTCCCGCGGGCCCCTCGGATCCTCCGAGGAGCGACCCCCTGCGCCCGGGCCTAGGTCCATGGGAGATGGCATCGCTCAAAGCCCCTGGTCCCGACCACCCGAACGCGGGGCGGTGGCGGCGGCGGCGGGGGGTGGGGGGGATGGTTTCTAGAAACATCCCTTATGCTTTCTAGTCTCGATTCCCCCCCCACCCCCCTCCTCCAACACACACACATACACAGGCCCAAGTCCCAAGAAGATCACACGACCCCCTGGTAGAAATTGGGACCACCCATTCACGGTGGGAGCCACCCGGGAATGCCCACGTGAACGCCAGGTCACATCCCAGCTCCCCAAACCTTGGCTGGCTGCTGGGGAGGGCGGGAGTGGGGGTGTGTGTGTAGGGAGGGGGACAGCCGTCTGGGGCCAGCAGACGGTCCAGCATGCCCTGTCCTCCTCTCCTCACCCCAGGTCCCCCTCTCACCCCCGCAGTTGGATTCCGGGGCACGGGCTTTGCCCAAGTTTTCTGGGCGATGCCCTTCCCAGAGCGCGAGTTGTGGGCCGGGCGGGAGGGGCGCGTGATTGACAGGCCGAACTACGGACTCATCTCTTACCTTAGGCCGCGGGCGCTGATTGGCTGCTCGCTGACATCCTCAAACCCGGCTGCTCCGCGCCGGGCTCGGGAGGGGGGCGGCCGCGGGTGGAGGTGCGCTTCTGACAAGCCCGAAAGTCATTTCCAACCTCAAGTGGACTTTGTTCCAACTATTGGGGGCGTCGCTCCCCCTCTTCATGATCGCGGGCAAACTTCCTCCTCGGCGCTGCTTCTAATGGAGCCCCACCTGCTCGGGCTGCTCGTCGGCCTCCTGCTCGGTGGCACCAGGGTCCTCGCCGGCTACCCAATTTGGTGGTAAGACTTCGCCTCCCATCTGCCCGAGGCCCGGTCTCTCCGCCGCGCCTTGGGGAGATGGGGAAGGGGGGCGCGCTGGCTTGGAAGGGGTGGGCTGCGGCAAAGCTGGGGGCTCCTTTCTCCTTGTCTCCCTCCAGTCTCTCAGCTTCCCACCACTCCTGGATTTTCTGTTGGTGTCGCCTTCAGAATCCAACTCCTGGCTTCTCTGATAAATCACCATTTTCCCTGCTACCCGCCGCAGAGGAGGAAGGACTTTCCCCTCCACCGTCTCCAAAGGTCTCCCATTCTTGATCCTCACCTTCCACCCATTGCAATCCGGGGGATCCTGGAAGACCCACCGTTTGCTGGTAGTTGGGTTCCTGGCAAACCAACGCTGTCTCTGGAGCTGGCCACTCCTCTTCTCCATTTTGGGGTCTTCATGGGTGAAAAAAAAAATCACCCTTGTCCTTCATTTCCATCCCATCTTCTCCGCGCCTCGCTCAAGAGATTTCCCCACAATATCCTCCCTGTTCTCCTTCGTATTTCAGATCCCAAAGGTTTTAGGGATCCATGGGGCAGGAGAGTGTGTGTGGGGGGGCGGGGGGTTCATTAGATTCTCCCCTCTTCTGCTCTAGATTAATTTTGAGCCTCTGAAGTAAATATGGAATTTACGGATCAGAGATGCCATTGAATTCGGTTGAATTCATTCCTTGCTTGTCCACCCTGGCAAATGAGGGGGGGTGGGGGTGAGGCTCTTTGAAAATGTAGCTGTTTGGGAGGGGGTAGGCTTGTTGTTCTTTGACCAAAACCCCAATTTTCCATGTCACATTCGTTGCTTTTGGAAAACGGAGGACTGAGGAGAAAGGACGATTCTGTCCCCGAGAACAGAGCATACAAAAGACATTTTCGTAAATAAGGCTGGGAAAACAAGCGCAGTGATGGTGTGTGTGTGTGGAGGTGGGGGGGGGGCGTCTTGCATGTGCAAAGGGGCTGATTGGGGGAATAAACAGCCCTTTGGGAACCCCAGCTCCAGGGAGTCCCCTTGTATTCCACGCGGCCTCTCCGCAGCTCCCCCTCTGCAGGGGCCGGCCAGGAAGACACACTGAAACCAGTTCCCTAAATGACACCCCGACTCTGCCCTCCTCTAGCCCCCTGCATGCAGGAAAACTTTAATTATAAAGAATCTTTCCCTCCTGGACCTAGGAGAGCCTAGGCCTGGGGGTGAGGAGGTGAGAAGTAGGAATTTGGGACCTGTGAGTAAGAAGGGGAGTGTGACTGTGGCCCCTGGGGTGAAAGTGAGAGAGAGAGAAGAGCCACCAGGGTGCAGTACTGCCTGCGGCCCCTGCTCTCCTTGCCTGCCTGCTCAGGGATCCTAGGACTGGGGGAAGCAGAGCTGGAGAGATTTGGGGGCCACACCCTGTCTTCCTCCAGTTGTTTGGTGGCAGCCTTTGCATTTGGGTATTTGGGGTCCTCTGTGAGAAAAGAAGAAGCAGAAGCAAGGCTTGGCCAAGGGTCTAGGGAGTTGCTCCTATGACTGACACCCAAAGGTCAGTCTTTCTTCTGTCCTTCCTGTGGCCTTGGGCTGGCCTGGCCTCCTGAGTTTATAGAGGCTCATGGGGTAGCTGGGCGGGAGGCGAGGGCAGCCAGAGATTCCAGGGCAGGGTTCTACCCGTCAGAGGAAGGCTGTCTTGATGGTAATTCCTGATTTTCTTCCCATTCCCAGGTCAAGGCCGTGTCATTCTTTGCCCTTTCAGGGATCCAAGAGGGCAGGATAGGAAGAAACAGCTTGGAGCCCCAGAGGTGGCAGGGACTGAGGAAAGGGCAGTTCCGTTGCCCTATGCTCTGGGGGAGGGTACTTCCTGCGGGCAGTGCCAGTGGGCAGGTAGCGGCAGCAGTGCGATCTGTGTGTAATGGTGGCTAGGAAGCATTTGGAATAGGGCTCAACTAATAGGAAGAAAGATTGGGAAAATCGGAGAGGCCGAGACATCAGCCTTAATATAAGGATAGATGGGTACATGGCTTATTTGGGGGTTGAGGGGACAGGGATGCTGCTTTGTCTGAGCAGAGGAAAGATGTATGTGTGTATGTGTGTGAGAGAGAGGGGGCCAGGTCCAAGTGTACTCCTGTACTTTCCAATGACAGTGGCCGCCTCTGTGTGCATTGTGGGTCTTTGACCCTAAGAAGTGTGTGTCCACACTAGTGTGTGAGTGTGAACAACTTGCATATGAAATCACGCAAGATGTGCCTGAAGAGAGCCCACCATGGCCCAAGGCAGGGTGTGCCGTGCTTCTGCATAACAAGTGTCAGCAAGTGGCTTGCTCTAGGATGTGTATGTCTGTGAAAAACTGAGGAGCCTACATGTATCTTTGCTCATGTGATGCTGTGCATGACTGGGCATGTGAGTGTGGTGTTGGTGTGTGTGTGCACCCATGCACACATGCATGCTTTCACCACAGGGTTAGGAGAAAGCCCCACAGGCATTTTTGTGCAAGCTCTCAGTGCTCATGGCCCTGACCTGATTGTGCTAGTGAGTTTGAGAATGAGCTTCGTGTTTGAGGTGGGCTGAGGACTGGGTTAGAGTCTGCTTGTGATTGATCTTGTCCCCAGGTACAAGTGTCAAAATTGGGTTTGTGCCTGTGTGTCTGTGGACTTGTTTGCAGACACCTGACCTGTGTGCTGGGAGGGACACCTTAGCTGGGGGAATTGGTGGCTGTCTGAGGCCCTAGAGGGAAGGTCCAGAAGGAAGCAAAGGTCTCCCAAGGTAATTGTAGGGCTTAGCTGATCTGAGACCCATAGCTGGGCTGGGGGCAGGGCCTTCCTTGGCACAGGTTTGCCCTGCCTGCCTGAGGACTGTGGTCCCAGGCCCTCCCTCCTCTCCAAGCTTGTTCTCCTTTGGTCTTGGAGCTGGGGTGAAGGGTGAGTCACCTTCTCCCAGCCTGGAACTGGAGAGTGGATGGGTCTTAGATTCGTGATCCTGCTTTGCCCCCAGGCAGGCAGATTCCAGTCCTTTTTAGCATCTGAGCCCATTACTGCCTGACCTCCTGGGCCCACCCACAAGGGGTTTATAGGGATTTCTGTCCATGTTACTCCAGGAAGGCCACTCTCGCCCCCAGCAGCTTTTCTTGCTCAGGCCCCAGCCCTGAGAGAAGGGAGGGTACTGCCAGGCTCAGACGGACACTCCTGGAAGGAAGCGGTGTGTTCTGGGGTCTTCCAGCCAGGAAGTGGTAGCACTGGGGCAGGAAGGGCTTCAGTAACAGCAGATTTCTGGACCTCTCCTTGTCAATCCTAGTTATCTCCCAGCAGAGAAATGTCTCTTTCTTTGCCTTCTTGAGAGAATATGAGCCCTCTCTCTGTGGGTCCTAACCCTGAGCTGCCATGCTCTAGAGCAGATACATCCATGAAAGAAGCCTGAGCTTGGTGGAGGGCTGGCAGCTCTTAGGGAGCTGTGTGGCTGATGACCACTGATGACCCACGCTTCTACCTGAGTTCTCATTCCGCCACCCTACGGCCCATCCCCCACTCCAGCGCCTTGCCCTAGCTCTGCCTCAGTTTCCCCTTGTGTCAGATGTCCTGCTGCCTCCCCCCCACCCACGCCCACCCCCACCTGCCTCTCACAGGCTTGTGAACATGTTCAGTCAAACCCCATGGGGGTCAGTAGGCTGGGCCCAGGGAGGCACCTGGAGACTGCGGGGGAGGAAGGCCTCAGGCCAGGTGTTAACACTTGTAGCAGGCAGGAATTACAGCTGGCTGGGGCTGGGGCTGGTAAAGAAGCTAAGCTGGCTGGAGGCTGTTGATCCTACAGACAGACAGACAAACAGACAGACAGACTGATGGGCAGATACCAGATCGGATGGCCAGGCTTTATTGAGCAGGGTGGTCTCCCTTCCAGGGCAGACCTTCCCTGGAGGAGGGGGAGGAGGGAGGCAGATCTCAGAAGTAAGTTCATAATCCTTCTGCTTACCCCACCCCCATTATGGTGGGGCTTTGTGAGGGGGGCCAAGGAACAAAATTGATGGCTGATTTGTTGATATTCTTCTGGTGGGACTATATTTTGCTTTAAAAATAAAAAGAAAGAAAAACAGTTAAAGTGTTAGAACAATACCAAGTGCTGTGTCCTCTGATAAACTTGCTGTAATGGGGGTGGGGGTGAAGGAAACGGGGGAAGGGAAAGTTCTCCCAGAATCTCAGAGCATTTGGTTAAACATTTTCAGGATGCAGAGATGAGAGCCAGATGCACTGTGAACCCTCATCCCTGAGGGTCACCCCACCTTCATCCCAGGGATCTTGAAGGCCTTGGGTCCAGGATGTCTGCCCTGCAATTAATTGTACCCCTGGGAAGACCTTTGATGGGGAGGTCAGAAGAGTCTGGAGCTGGGCTTAGAAACCAAATCTTTTAGCAGGTGCGTGTCTGAGTTGCCCCAGTGCAAATCCAGTCCCTGATTACCAAGGGACTACGCTCTCTTGTGGCTGGGCACCGCGTTATCACTTGCAGAAGAAGGGGGCTACAGACCCACAAAGAAGGTCCAAGGTGAAAAACCCAAGAGATAGACTCCACCCAGCAAGCCAATCCCACTCCACCCATTACAGAACTCAGTCCCAGCACACATATGTTCACGATTACTTGGGCAAGTGTAGAATTGAGGCACCGACCTCAAAATGGGGTGTGGGTGGGAGCTGTGAGCCCAGGGTCTTCTCCATACCTGGAAGAGGTGTCTCACTGATCTGGGCAGGAGTCAAGGAGCCTGGCATCTGGACGGGGAAGGTGGCTTTTCTTGGAGAAGGATTCAGCTCACACATCTTTCTGGACAGGGTAGGAAGATGGGAAGTCAGTATGGAGAACCTTTCCCACTCTCCTGATTCACAAAAGTTCCCCTCCACTCCCCCACCCCTCTCAAGGCTGTTGAGAAGGAAAAGACCTTCTTCATCCGAGACAGGAGGCCCTGCTTGAAGACCAGTCCGTGAGGGTTTAATACATGCATGCCCCTGTGGGTTGGAAATGGTTCAAGCTGAAGACCTGTGTC